TTCAAAATATTTACACCAGAGCAGATATTCATGGACAGAAGCTTAGTTACATTCATAAACACAAGCAGGCTATACAATCCAAAAACTATAGTTATAAACATATATGGCTATATTCGTGAACAGAGAATATCCTATCACAGTAAAGTTTTGACTAATCATTCTAACTGACATTAGGCTAGTAACATTATAACTCATATTACTTTTATATCGTATTTCTGTCTGTTATAGAACATAAAAAAAACATCCTGACATCGTGAGACATTTAGATTCTGTGAATAAATCTTCATAATGTTTCACTTGATTATACATTTAGTCAGGAATTATAGTTAGGAGAAAGTCTAACTAGTAAAATGTGTACAAGTTATGTGAAAACTAATACAAGTAGGTTAATAAAAAAGACTTACTCATGTTTATGATCACTGCTGGATCAAGCCGCTGCATTGTTTTTTTTCCTGAGGTAATCCAAAGCTTCTTGAGGTGAATTCTGTCTTATTCCTCTCAGCACGACGCGAACAGTAAAATTAAAAAAAACTTGAGGTCTTGCTGCTTTGTTTGCTGTGATGTGGGCATTTACACGCCACGCGCTTCACGTGGATGATTATAATATCTATTGCGCGCTCAGCGCGTGGGCGTGGTCGCATTAGATATAATCAAGGGAGACGTGAAAGACTGGACATCGCGTGGGTTTCATATGAATTACTTTATCACAGAATATTTGCTTTCGATAAAAGTAGACATGTCAAGTTTTCTATAGATATATCTCTCATGTCTCTTTGTTGAGTATTTGCTTAGTTACAGTTCATTTTAATGACGCGTTTCTAAATAAAGATCACGCAGACCAAGGCGGCAGACAGCGCACCCTGTTTGTTTTCTTTATTTTATAAATGCATAAAGTTTTGTTGTTATTATGTGTGTATACAAATAAAAGTAGACCATTTACAGATTTGATTGATGTATTGCTCTTATCTGTAAGATCAAAACTGAAAGTGTAATTTAAGTTCTTTTCGGTGTTATCAGGAGAAGATGCCACAAAACGCGTATCCGCGTTTGTCGACCCCAAAGGGTTAAGAGCTGCCGCTGCTGAATGTGACACGGATCTGACACGCATGCTTGTCATTTATTAAGTTATTTGGCTGCTATTACTTTAAGAGCTGCCGCTGCTGAACGTAACACAGATCTGACATGCATGCTTGTCATTTATTAGGTTATTTGGCTGCTATTACTTTAAGAGCTGCCGCTGCTGAACGTAACACAGATCTGACATGCATGCTTGTCATTTATTAGGTTATTTGGCTGCTATTACTTTAAGAGCTGCCGCTGCTGAACGGATCTGACACACATGCTTGTCATTTCATTCACACGTTAATATGAAATGATACAGGCTACAGCGCACGCTTCCGTATTTGTGCTTGCAGTTAAAGAGCTTGCTCTATGAGCACAGTATAGCGGCAGACAGGAGAGGAAAACTCATTTTTACTGACATATGACAACATCTCATCTGACCACAGTTCACTGTTGTTCTGCTGAAGCTCCTCGTCACCTGCACCATTTCGAGGCAAAGTGGAGTGCACATCTGAAAAGTCTCCTGTTTGATGTGGTCGTAAAGATGTTCTGCATCTAAATAAATGCATTTTTTGTCAGAAGCAGCAGTTGTGAGTGGGGTGCCCAACCCTAGCTCCGCCCCTGCGTTAACAGTGTTAAATATTTTTAACGCCGTTAAACTAAAAAAATGAATCGCCTGTGTTAATGCGCTAATTTTGACAGCACTAATAAGATAATATAATATAATATAATTAGGGCTGTCAGATTAACACGTTAATTAATTAGTTATGAAAAAATAACGCGATTCAAATATTTTTACGCAGTTAACGCACTGGACCCGCCCCCAGTACGTCATCTTACAGTCCATACAGTTGACTGATGACAAATATGATGCAGGGCAGCAACTCCAGAAATGCAGGTATGCCCTAAAATTCAAGATATTGGGGCAAAAAATGTCCCTGTATGAGTCTCATACTTATATCATATGATAAGTGATATCACACAGCAGCAAGAACACCAGTGCTGATTTTGTCACGAAGAGCACGAGTGCAAATGTGATTAACAGATCTGTAAATAAGAAGTTAATATTGTGTTATATTTTAAACACAATATTGTGTTTTTGCTCAGTTTTGCCATTGAACATATTACCTATAAGGCCACTGCAAAACTGTTGTGCGTCTGTGAGCAATAGCGGTGTTTAGTTTGTGAATGAATCCTCGTTTTGAACGAATCGTGTGAACCAATGATTCAATGGCCCATTCATAAGGAGAGCCATTTACTTCATTACTGAATGAATCAGCCGTTTGAACGAATCGAATGAATGAATTAATGACTCATAAAGACATTTACTGCCACCACCTTAGTTTCTTCTTTAGAGTATCATATAATTTAGTCTATAAAAAATAAATAAATAACATTAAAGGGATAGTTCACCAAAAATTATTATTTTTATTTTTTTAAATCTGTCATCATTTACTAACCCTCATGTTGTTTCAAACCTGAATGACTTACTTTCTTTTGCGCAACATAAAATAAGGTATTTTGAAGACTGTCGGTAACAAAGCTGTTTTGGTTACCAGTGACTTTTATTGCATGAACAAAAACGACTGAGATGTTTCTCAAATTATCTTCTTTTATGTTCCATATTTTATGTTAGGCCGTTGTAGCCTAAACGTTTATGTGCAATAAACTTTATGCGGAATCAAATGAAATATTTCTTTCTAAAGCTACTATTTGTAATCTCTACTTGCTACTTTCTCATTTAACACAATAATAGCTTTACATAATCTTTTGTGGGTATTTTCACTGCCAAATTTAGTTTGTGATTAATTAGATTAATTAATCGCTGCACCGTGTAATTAATTAGATTAAAAGGTTTAATCGAATGACAGCCCTAAATATAATATAATATAATATAATATAATATAATATAATATAATATAATATAATATAATATAATATAATATAATATAATATAATATAATATAATATAATATAATATAATATAATATAATATAATATAATATAATATAATATAATATAATATAATATAATATAATATAATATAATATAATATAATATAATATAATATAATATAATATAATATAATATACTTGTATTCATCAAGAATGCATTAAACTGATCAAATGTGACAGTAAAGACATTTATAAAGATTTGTATTCCAAGTAAATTCCGTTCTTTTAAATCTTCTATTCATCATTAAAAAAGATTAAGCAGCAAGAACAGTTTCTTAAATAATTGAGAACCAATTAAAATGGATAATGACTGAGCACCAAATAATCATATTAAAAGGATTTCTGAAAGAAAAAAACTTGTCATCTCTAGAAAAATAACATTCTCCTTTATGTGGCATGGTACAAAGAAAACAATGATTACATCCTGAGATCAGTTCGCTTTAAATAGGTCTGAGTTTGATTTGAGCAGTCACATAAATGTCAACATTAATGTATGTGTGTAATGAAGTAAACACTCCTCACTGTTCTGAGGTAACAGCGACTGTGGCATTTTCTGTAACATTTGGCATTTATGGTCACTCACCCTTGAGTCATTTAATCAAAAAAGGTCGTTCATCCTTCACTGGTTGATTTTCCGCATACCTTCAGTGATTCGTGAAATCTTCCTCTTGATGGCGCATATCATGGCGTCCGAGCAGAGCGCGTAGAGATCGGCTCCGGTCAGCTGAGGAGGAAAGGACTCCACGACCTCCGACAGATACACGCTGGGATCCACCTTAAACCTGCACCCAGAACACCAGCAGAGAGTCAGCAGCAAACACACTCCAGCACTGAGAGAGAGGAGATTGATGATGAACACTCACCTGCGCAAGATCGCCTTCAGAACCTGTAGCTGAGACTCTCGGTCTTCATTCACACCCACATACACCAACTTATCAAATCTGGAAAGAAAAAAAACATTGCAAGAATACAAGACAAACTGAAAAGCAACTGAATCTGAATGTATTTACCTGCCAGGCCTGAGCAATGATTGGTCCAGTAGATCTGTGCGATTAGTTGCTCCGATCACAAAGACGTCTCCAGATGAATGAAGACCATCCAGCTCTGCTAAAAGCGGCGACACAACCCTAATAATAAAACATGGCAAAACCTGGCTTGTCATGATGCAGCAGTCCTTTAGCCTTTTATACACATTTCAAAGCGGCTTCACTACGGTGGCCCAGTAGTGCACAACACAACAAAATCTCCACAACACAATGAAATCGCCACAACACAATGCATATGACTAATTTCATTGTGTTGTGCTCATTTTGTCGTGTTGCACTAATTTCGTTGAGTTGTGGCTTGTTTTCGTTTTGTTGTGCTAATTTCGTTGTGTTGTGGCTTATTTCCATTGTGTTGCGACTTGTTTCCGCTGTTTTGTGGCTTGTTTCTATTGTGTTGTGCTTATTTCATTGTGTTGCACTAAGTTTGTTTTGTTGCGGCTTGTTTCTGTTAATGTGTGTCTTGTTTCCATTGATGCTTGTCTTGTTAACGTTGTGTTGCGGCTTGTTTCCATTCTATTGTGCTAATTTAATTGTGTTGCAGCTAGTTTCCGTTGTGTTGTGTCTTGTTTCCATTGTGTTGCAGCTAGTTTCCGTTGTGTTGTGGCTTGTTTCTGTTATTATGTGGTAATTTTATTGTGTTGTGGCTTGTTTCTATTCTGTTGTGGCCTGTTTTTGTTGTGTTGTGCTAATTTTTCTATGTTGTGGCTTGTTTCCTTTGTGTTGTGCTAATTTTATTGTGTTGAGCTAATTTTGTTGTGTTGAGCTAATTTTGTTGTGTTGCGACTTGTTTCCATTGTGTTGTGCTAATTTAATTGTGTCATGCTAATTTCATTGTGTTGTGCTAATTTTGTTGTGTTGTGACTTGTTTCCATTGTGTTGTGCTAATTTATTGTGCTGTGCTAATTTTGTTGTGTTGCGACTTGTTTCCATTGTCTTCTGCTAATTTCATTGTGTTGTGCTAATTTTGTTGTGTTGCGACTTGTTTCCATTGTGTTGCGGCTTGCTTCCCTTGTGTTGTGCTAATTTCATTGTGTTGTGCTAATTTTGCTGTGTTGTGGCTTGTTTCCGTTATGTTGCGACTTGCTTCCGATGTGTTGTGCTAATTTCGTAACGTTGCGGCTTGTTTCTGTTGTGTTGTAGAGATTTCATTGTGTTGTAGAGATTTTGTTGTGTTGTGGAGATTTTGTTGCGTTGTGCACTACTGGGCCACTGTAGTTTTCACTAATTAACATCTGAAAAGTATAAAAATTGTAAGTCTTTACATTAAAGTGGCTTGTTATCAATATTCCAGGTGCCAGAGAAGGGATCCCTACCTCTCAGCCTTTGCCATTCCTTGATTCATCCATTCTGCTGTCGATGCATCAGTTAATGTCAACTATGATGAGTCAGCTTCAACCAGTGCTGGAAAGCTTCAATCAAACACTGAAGCATCTGTCCAGTGAGGTGCACGCATTGTCTCAGGACTTGCAGCAACTGCGGATGGAAAAGGAAGACAACAGGTCCACGAACAGAGGCGAAAGTCACAGTGGACCTATCGAGCAGAGACTAGAGCCTAGTCATCTCCAGATCAGTCATATGAAAACCCAATTGGATACACAGAAAGACCAGATGGAGAGGGCCTTTCAGGCCCAGCAAGAACTGCTGAAACACAACCTAACAAAACTGAAGGAAGACCGGCGTGTTGTGCTAATTTCGTTGTGTTGGGCTAATTTTGTTGTGTTGCGACTTGTTTCCATTGTGTTGTGCTAATTTCATTGTGTTGTGCTAATTCTGTTGTGTTGTGACTTGTTTCCATTGTGTTATGCTAATTGTGTTGTGTTGTGGCTTGTTTTCGTTTTGTTGTGCTAATTTCATTGTGTTGTGGCTCGTTTTCATTTTGTTGTGCTAATTTTGTTGTGTTGTGACTTGTTTCCATTGTGTTGTGCTAATTTTGTTGTGTTGTGACTT